ACCCTAAACCCTAGGTATAGGAACCCTAAGCGCTAAACCCTAAACCCTAAACCGACACTATAGGAACCCTAAACCCTAAACCCTACCCTAAAACCCTAAACCCTAAACCCTAAACCCCTAGACCCTAAACCCTACCCTAAACCCTAAACCCTAAACCCTACCCTAAAACCCTAAACCCTAAACCCCTAGACCCCAACCCTACCCTAAACCCTAAACCCTAAACCGGGAACCCTCGTAAGCTCTGCGCCTGGAGCCACCTCGAGGTCGACCTTCCCAAAGAGAGGCTTTCCTGAGTTGCTGAGCTCAGAGGCGGCTTTAGTTTTTTTTACGGTATAGGGTTTTGGGGCTTAGGGTTTAGGGTTTAGTTTTTTTTTCGGTTTAGGGCTTGAGGGTTCGTAAGCCCCAAAAGAGTGTACACTTTCAGTTTCCAAACAGTGGATAATATTAACTTTCAGTTCTATTGGGGATCATGTGATCCTCAAAAGTGTGAAGCTTACTCACTCAGCTGCTCTATGATTCTATAGGGGATGATCTTATCCTAAGTGTAAACCTTAAGCCCCAAACCCTAGACCTAGACCCCTAAACCCTAAACCATAAACCCTAAACCCTATATACCCTAAACCTTAAGCCCTAACTCCTAAACCCGAGACCCTAAACCCCTAAACTCTAAACCCTAAACCCTACATACCCTAAACCTTTAGCCCTAAACCCTATATGCCCCAAACCTTAAGCCCTAAACCCTAGACCCTAAACTCTTTCAGCCACGAAGTTTCCAGAGGGCAGCTGGACCCCGTCGACTCGCAGTTCCAGCGGCGCGGGCACCTCTGACTCTGACTGCGGATTCACCTCAGAGCTTGAAAGGTTCAGGGTTTCGGGGTTTAGGGCAGTTTAAGGGGGTTTAGGGTTTCGGGTTTAGGGTTTAAGGCAGCTTAGGGGTTTAGGGGTTTAGGGTTTCGGGTTTGAGTCAGTTTGGGGGCTTAAGGGTTCAGGGTTTAAAGGTTTACCCTCAACCCTAAACACTAAACCCTAAACCCGAGGGTTTTTTTGCGGGCCTCGGATTCACCTAGGTTTTTGTCGGCTTTAGGGCTTCAAGCTTCCTGGGGTCGGGGTTGGGTGATCTCAAGGTTGCCACGAGCGTTATGGGTGCATCCTAGCCTTTTTTTGGGTTGAGTGGTTTGGGGGGGGGTTTAGGGTTTTTGTGGGAAGTTCTCTATATTCGGGTCCCGCTGTAGGCCACCATTAAACAAGGGACCCCAAAAAGGGACCCTAAATTAGATTCCAGGTATTGCGATATCTTTCCGTTTCTGTATGCCCGTCCGTCTGCACATTGGGTTTTGCAAAACTCCAGGCAGGACACATCATGTGTTACACGATATACAACTCAATTCACTTCGGTTGAGCCCGTTGGTCGATTCTAAACGCCCATCAAAACTCCAAGCCCCATCACAGTTTACGGCTGATGGCCTATCAGAACCAAGAACCTGAAGCCTCCCCGTGTACATGCCTCCATCAAATTACTTAGGACCCTGCGCGGAATGGCCCTACAAGCCCCTCGATCAGCCGTAAGCCCCATACACTCCCCCGTTTGCACTTCCAACCCTAAACCCCAAACCCTAAACCCCCTAGACTCTGAACCTTCTTTAACGCCTGTACAGTCCCTCCAGCGGGATTCCCTCGGCGTTTGGCCCTCCTTCTCGCCCCCGAAAGCCCTGCCCTAACCCCGATGAAGCCCTGAAGATGTATGTAAGCCCGTAGACCAGTCAGGTGGTGAGAGCTCTGATCCCTTAGAAAACAACAACAACTAACCCCAACACCCCAAACCCCAACCCCCAAACCCGAAACCTTAAACCCAAAACCCAACACCCAAACCCCCCCCTAAGGCCCTAACTCCTAACATCATAACACCCGGAAGCCCTAAGAGCCCTAGGCCCTGAAGCCCTAAGAGCCCTAGACCCCAACCCCCCAAAAACAACAACAAACACCGAGGCACCAAACTTTCCTTTGGCTTCCGGCTCTCTGAAAGCCAGCCCTGTGGGAGGCCGCGCTCCGCCAGGCGCGTGAGGACCTGGGCCTCCGCCGTGTCCTTGGATTCCTCCGGAAGGACTCCGAGGTGCACAATTTTGACAGCTACACTTCAGTTACACATCTACATGTATATGTACATAGCTAGAGAAGGGAAGGTACACTATGCATTACGTAGTATACATATACACATATACATATATA